ACCGCTTAGCCGTTTATCCATTTGATCTCATCTGTGAGGCTCATCTCAGTGTTTGAAAAATTAGCCGTTCATCCCTTCGATAATTTTCATCAGCCGTTCATCCGTTTGACCTCATCCGTTTGAAAATTTTAATTAGCCGTTCACCCGTTCGACCTTGTCCGTTTGAATTTTTTCACTGGCCTTTCATCCGTTTGACCTCATTCGTTCGAAAATTTTAATTAGCCGTTCATCCATTCATAGTATCCATTTCGAATGGCTTTCCAAGCCGTTCGTCACCCTTTCACTTGCCGTTCCGTTCACTGTTCGAACGGCTACCATTAGGAACGTTTTCGCGTGAGAGGTCACAAATGCTCTTTTGGTTGATTATAGTTTAACCCTGTCAATAACTAATCTGTCCTTATACAATGAATATATGAAGTTTATATATTACATCATACGTAATCTGTCCTAATTCCTAATATTATAGTCATGAATATCATGTCCTTTAGATTGAAAAAATTTAGTAAAGTAACTTGGAGCCAATCCCTTAAGGTGCTTTTCTACCAGATTAATGATGTGGATTTCTCTTCTTTTGGCAAGAGTTTCCCAACCAAGGCTTGTAAACATCTGTTTGGTGGATAAATAGGCATTATTCAGTACTATTCTTCCAGCTCGCCTTTGTAGACTTTCTGAACCTTCTTGGTTTCCTTTGCCACATCTATGGAAGACGCCACCGCAGTAATCCAGGATTGGGAGAATCATTGATTTAAACAGTCTATTTGTAGATTTGATTGTTAATGATGGCCGTGCTCTTGAGAGAATCCCCAACATCTTAGAAACTTTCTTCTTTACATGATCGATATGCTGATTCATCGAAAGGCTACTGTCCAAAATAACGCCAAGATATTTAAAGGCACCACTGTAATTCACAGATTCACTGATATACCACCTGCATCCTTTTTTTTTTGTTTTTTTGTTCCTGTGATTTGACTCATGATTTGTTTTTCTACAGTTACATCTTCAGGTTAAGTTGTACAAGATTGGGCCAGTGGGCCATAGGATATGTGACACCTGAGCATACAATTCTTCAAACCATTCCTCAGAACAAGTCACTCTGTCAGGCTCTTATTGATGGAGCCAGAGAGGGCTAGTAAGTTTTCTCTTTTTCTCACCTTGAAGAACCTATGTTTAAGCTACAATCTTTGGAAAAATTTAGCCTCCATATTTCAAGTCTCTCATTTGCAATCTTTTTCAATATTCTATTGGTATACTTTTTCCAAGCTTCTGGGGTACGAGTTGATCATTTCAATTTGGAACAACTGGTAGCTCTTAAGTATCTTTTTACAGTCATGAGTTTTGTATGATTTTGGTAATTTCTTACATTTCTGTCTATTTATCGACACAGGGAAACTCCCTTTCCTTTAAAATGTATTTCCATTAGCAGTAAATATCTAAAATGTTTGGATTACAAAGGTAAATTGTGCAGAAATTAAAATGAAAGTAAGAGAGTTAATATTTTAAACTTAAGTTTTCTATTTTTTTTTCCTCAGCTACCTTTACCCTGACGGAAAACCAGACAACCCTGATGTTAGCCATCATCTCATCACCCCCCCTGATGAGCACATCACTGTCACAGAGGAGCAATATGAGTTGTATTGTGAGATGGGATCCACCTTTCAGCTTTGCAAGATCTGTGCTGAAAATAATAAAGATGTGCGCTTGGAGCCCTGTGGCCATTTGATGTGTCACATGTGCTTAGACCAGTGGCAAGAAACTGGTGGTGAAGGTTGTCCATTTTGTCGTTCTGACATCAAAGATATGCAAGCCATTGTTGTGGATCCATTTGTACCTCATCTTGAGGAGGAGACACCAGGAAGAGGTGCCGAGAGCCACGAGAATCACTTGGATGGGGAAGAAGATGAAATCATGGAGGTTTGAGATATATAAATTGCATTAACCATGTACACCCTAACTTCAGTATGCAAGTTTCCCCTACTGTTCTCCATACATTTCTTATGGTAGTTACCAAGAGAATTAACTTAACAATCAAGAGCTGCTTGAGTTTGTGAACATTTCTACTATTCTGATGACCTTGATGTAAGTTTCAGGGGTTGATACTGGAGGTTGAAATTATATGCAAATTGGGTGTAAACAATTCTGGTATTGTTATGGAGATTATTACTTTCACCCTCCTGTTCCCCCTTATTTCCTGAGTGCTTCCACCTTGCCTACTTGACTACCTTACTGTGTGACTATTTTTTTACTGTCTTCCTACTTAACTAGATCAAAAGCTAACCTCCATTGGAAATATTTTCTCAGGATCCCAGTCAGTGGGTCTCCACAATTGATACTAGACCTCATGGTACTCAACAAGGAGGAGGATATCCCCATTTACAGCAGGAGAACACTGAACAGTTCCCGTCTTCAGAAGATGCCCCTCCACCCTTGCCCCAGAGGCGAAATCTCACGTTGAACCCACAGTTACCCACATCACCAACCCTTGTAGTCACCCATGCGTCACCATTTGCTACTCCTGGGACATCCTCAAGGTCATCACCATTAAGTTCTCCTTGGAACTCTCCAAGGAATTCTCCACGCAACTCGCCACGGAATTCCCCTCGTGCATCTCCAAATGTCTCACCCCACAACTCGCCTCTTGTTTCTCCATGTGGCTCACCACAGAACTCTCCTTCACTGTTAAGAAAGGTACCACCACCACCGCCACCATCAAACTTAGATGAGGACAGTCCTCCTGCAGTACCAGAAAGGAGGTATAAACACAGAGGGATCAGTGTGGAGAATAAGGAGAATAAACCTGGAACTAAGACATCTAAACATGAAAGCAGTAGAAAAGACACATTGGGATATGCAGACATAGCTGCTGCAAATGTTGCACATGAAACTTTTGGTCAAAACCAGATTAAAACAAATTATGCTCAGCTAGCTCACCCTCATCCTGATGCAGCTCAGTCTGATGACAAGGAGAGGAGAAGGCCTGGAGAAGCCATAATGGCTGAAGTTTGTGCAAATGAAGAGGCAACATCATATGATTTTCCTCTGCCAATAATAGCTGAGAGAGAACGTTCACCGGGTGAGAAATCCAACCAAGAGAATGGTTTAAGGGACAATACCACTGATCTTCAATCAGTTGCAGATCCTTTTGCTGAAGACCCATTTGAATTGAATGATAAAGCAAAACACATCCACTGTGATGATGATGATTTTTGTAAGGGCCCTTTGGTTGTAGCACTGCCACCATCACGTTCACAAAGCTGTAACTCTGGGATGCCACGCAAAACCCATGCTCACAGAGACAAAAATACTCTGCCTTCAAGGGTGTTCACCAAGGCAAGATCCACTGATGACGTGCTTGAGGATCCTACATATTCAAATGTTCATCGAGACCATGGCAAAAATGCTGGTCAAACCAATGACTTTGAGAGCAATGGAAACCCCACTTCAAATAGTAACCACGATAGAACTTTACGCCCAGCTTTGCTTTCTCGAAACAGCTGGGGTGGAGCAGAAGCTAAAAATTTCAGCAATCCAATGTATGGTTCCCGGGGCTTAGATCCAAGTAAATTAGAAGCAAAGGTAGAACATAGACCAACACGATCCAGATTGCCAGATGAAGATCCAAAGCTTGATGCTATGCAGTTTTATGAAGAAGATTTTACAATTCTGCAGGCGCAGGGATACAGTCGCGAGGAGATCACCAGAGCCCTTATTGTGGCTGACAACAACTTTGCTTTGGCAAGGAAAATTCTCCGCGAGTTCTCTCAGGGGACAAGAAAGCTATGAACTTTTGGTACAGTTGAATAGTAATATAAAATTCTGGCCAAGTTCATACTAAGGTTGAGTTTTCCCCTTGTAGAGTTGCTAAAGGATGGTGATTTTTGTTGAATTTTGATACCATAGCTGCATGATGAATTATCTGGTAGTTGTTCAGATTTTAAAGTGGGTAATTAATCTTAACCTTTGAAATGTTCACCACAGAATTAATATTTAGACAGGAAGTTGTTTGATATTTACATAGTTTTCTTAATTTGAAACACTTTATAACCTGGCCTGACAAATCAGGGGAAATCTTGATCAGTAAATTTAAAGTGATCCCAGTTTATCCATTGATATTGGAAGTAAGCCACCAGTCAGTTTAAAAAATTTGTGATGTTTGACTCAATCCTTTCATTAATTTTTTATGAATTTTGAACTTTCATTGGTTTCTTTCCAATGAGATTCTTCCATGATACAACAGCTCAACCAGACTGGTATGGTTTAGGGTAGAAATGCATTCAGTCATATATTTCACTATGATAGATAGCACTGATAATGACAATTGAAGGGTAATTTATTACTTGACCAACTAAGTAAGAAGGCAGGGTGCTGTGGGTCTCATGCTCTGAACAGCTCTCCAAGTGGGTAATATGGGCTTGTGTTAGGCACTCTGGTTTGTCCACTTTTTTTTTCTCCATTGTGAATTGCTTACATGGTTTGTCAAAAAGTGAGTATTTGTTATAATCTTTTTGGCCAGGTAATAAATTGACCAAGCTTGTTCCTCAAGTTGACTGATCTGTAAAAGGGAATAATTTAAGTATTTTCCAAAGTCAAATCTTCCTGAACTCTTGTTTGGTGAGACTTGCATCTGAACTTGGGACTATTGCCTGGTCAGATTGTCAGTAACACAGATAACATTAGTTCACAAATGGGCAACTATAATTTCTTTTTTAGTTTGTTAAATTCCATGATTAATGAATTGATCAGTCAGATGTGGTGGTCAGTTTATCGAAGCGGGAATCAAATTAACTGTGGAGGTAATGAGACAGTAATTACCCAGTTCTCTCAAGTCATTAACAATTAACCTTTGTCAGCCCCTTAAACTTTCAAAACATAACTTGGAATTCAGCCATACATTTTCCTCTGAATGACCAGAGAGAATTTTTTGTCTTATCAAACAGCTTGTTGATGTGTTTTTTTATTCCCACCACATATTTACTGGATGAAGCATTGATATGGTAACAAAATGTTACTTATCAACTTTTTGGTCAGGTGGAAAAATTGCTGTTGGAATACTGCTAGTCCCGGGAGACTTATATTAAGTTCTTTTTTCAAAACTTGCAGGGTATGGTTATTTCTCTGGACAGTTTTCAGAAAGGGAAAAAATGCTGTGTGTTCAGAAAAGAGAAGTGGTAATCTGCAGTCAATGGAAAATATTGATATTCCTTTTTTTTTCAAATGTTTTTTTTTTTTTCATCACAGTTGTGTCTTTTTTATTCAAGTTGTAGGGGGTATTAAGTAAAAAATGTTGTCAGCCTGTGGCTTATTGTGTCTTTCATAAAGCCTTGTTGAGGTGTTCAAGGTAATGTGATACTGTAAACCAGAATTTAAAGTCCTATTAACAATTCCATATGGGAGAAGTTGCTTGTTGTGTTTATAATTACCAGTGGAACAATTTAGGGGTTTAAGGATGAACCATAGAATGATGTAGTAAAATTTAATGCAAAAAGACCAGCCTGGCCAGGTATTAGCAGTTTTTTTTACTGCAAAAGTATTTGTAAAAGTGAACAGAATGCAGAGATGTAAATAAAGCAACACAAGACTAAATGGCTTGGAAACAGCAGAACTTGTAAAGATAAAATTTTAGAATCATCCAAAATTCTTAGAGCAACAAAAACACAAAGATGAGGGTATTATTAGTCTAGAATATGGCAATTTAATTACCTTGTTGGGGGGAAATAATTGTTTTTGTCTGTAATTGTCTTTTTACAGATAGAATTAAATTTAGAAAATGTTGATTTGCTATTTATTCTCCTTGCCAAGCTTGGTCATTTTGTTAAGCAGCACTTTGTTTCCAGCAATTTTTTTTTTTCATCTCTTTGTATAATTCAATTGACTTTAGCTTGTTAGCTTTAATCTTTCTGAATCAAAACTCCAAGCAAAAGATCTTGAGAAAAATTCTGAAAACCACTGATCAAAATTGTCACCTGAGGAAATCAAAATTCTGAAAACCACAGATCAAAGTTGTCACCTGAGGAAATCAAAATTCTGAAAACCACAGATCAAAGTTGTCATCTGAGGAAATCAAAATTCTGAAAACCACAGATCAAAATTGTCACCTGAGGAAATCAAGATTCTGAAAACCACAGATCGAAGTTGTCACCTGAGGAAATCAAAATTCTGAAAACCACAGATCAAAATTGTCACCTGAGGAAATCAAAATTCTGAAAACCACAGATCAAAATTTTCACCTGAGGAAATCAAAATTCATTGTAAAGAAATGTGTATTATTGAAAGTCTCCAGAGACGACAACAGCCAGGTTAATCCAAAGATATGATACAAGATAATTATACACTTGCATAATTAATCCTGTTTGTTCTTCAAGAATTTTTACTTGGAAGGTTGCATTCAAAAGAAAATTTCTGTGAGAGTTGAAAACCTGAATTCAGCTACATGATTGAACACTGAACTGTGATCTTAATTGTGTGAATGTAATTTGCTGATAAAATTTATTTTCTAATAGATATGATCCTACTAACAAAGACATAAATACATTTCTAACTCTTCAATTAAAGGGAGTGTTACTTGAATATTTCTGATCAGTAATTTTGTGAGAGATTTGGTATGAAATATTTCACACTGATGACCACAGAGATCCATACTGTCTCTATGAGCCTACATATTCAAACTTTGATATTTTCAAGTGCTAAATTGAATACAAATGAGTTGCAAGGAAGTTTTTGGTTCATTTCTAATGTTTGGCACAAGAAAAATTTTCTTTTGTGGGTCTTGCTGGTATTAAAAGTTAAGTTTCAAAAATTGCTGTTATTTCTGTAAGTAACTTCCCTCATCAACAAACCACAATTAGTAAAATGATAGAAGTATAGGGAATATTTTTGTAGGTCTGTTGCTATGTAAATGAAAACTTCAAACCACAGTTATAGAACAGATATATAACATAATAAAGCAAAAGTGTATTTTAGAAGAACTATTTAAATGCATTAGAGATACCAATATAATTCACTGGGACCCACACCATTTTAATAGTTGTGTTTCAAGCAAAGTTGGTGCTTCTGCATTAAGATGAAAAAATTAAACGTTGCGTTTGAAGACTGCATTTCTTTGTACATATTTTGTGATGCAATGGAAGGACTGGTGGGAAGATCTAGAATGTAGATGAGAACATGCAAAAACAGGAAGTAGGGAAGTCACACTTGATGTCTACATGCTGCTCTGAGGGGGGAGGGGGTCCTAAAATGGAGGAACAGAAACAGGACACAATACAGCCTTAGCAGTAGAGCCAACCATAGTTTTCCCCATTGCACCACATGCTCCCTTACAGGTATTTCCTGAGCGTCAGCTATGACAGCTGGGTAATAGTCATTAGTTATTAGACGACTCGGGCAGTCAGAGGGCCAATAACTAAAATTAACCAATCAAAATGCACTATTGCTGGTCCAATATTCTCTTAGTATTGGACTGGGCACTGTCCGGAATGATACAGCACTTGTGTCCCTTCGAACTTCAGTCGTTTTATAAAATCTCTTATTAACCAAGCTTGCTCGAGACCGTACTGGAAGATTATCAGCCCTCCGTCTTTTTTGTACTGACCTCGCTGCGCTTGGTCCGTTCTGTCAAAAACCTCAGGCCGATATTCTCTCAGTATAGCCCTCACACTTGGTTAATAAGATATATATATACATCCTTTCTTTAACCCGAGTCTCTCAGTCTCAGAGGGTGACACATTTCCAAGGCAACGATAGGCCTGACCAAAGCATGCAAATACTTAAGGACTACTTCCCTTTTCCACCCAAACATATTACTGGACCAGCCTTGAGTATGCAGCCAGTATTATCACAATTTTTTTCCAGTACACTGGGTTCATCTAAGAAAGATTCTACTATAAATGAAATACTACCTTGGATTACCATCAAAACAATTAATATTCACTCCTGGGAGAGACCAAGAACTCATTTATTCTGATAATAACAACACACCATCCCCCAAGACAGGTAATGAGTAAAAAAACAAGAGGGTACTGATTTTAAACCAAATTCTTGGAACTCAATTATGAGAAATGTATGTTAGGCTGTGCAGAGATCTTCACCTGGTGAAGACCATGCAGATCTTTGTCACAACCCCAAGACAATAGCCATTGGGCTCCTGGAGATTCCTCTCAGTGTAGAGCTTTGGGATCCAATTGAATAATACAATAACTTAGTTTGTGAATTATTTATTGGCAAGTTTAATTTCATAGCACAGATGAAATCAAAGTTCAACAGCTGACATAATGAAGGCAAGAAGTTAGCCTTTAAGCTTCTTCTTTGGTCTCAGGTTGTTGCTGTGACCACATTTCTTCTTGCGGCAATTGACTGCCCGAGGATGCAGACGAGCATAACACCTGAAAGGAACATTAACCTTTAAACTTTCATCCAGACAACAAGCTCTAGAGTTCCTAATCAACAACCTAAATCTTTAAGTGATAATGTACTTATTGACTCAATGGAAGGGCTAGACATGGAAATATTTAGCTTGAGGTCATGAGGAACAGAATAAGCCTGGTTAAGTCTGTAGAAATTCAAAAGCCAAATATTTTCCTGCCTGGCCCAACCTAACTCAGTCAATAAAAACTTTATCATATGAACATCATCCTTTCATCTTTTAGCATGATCTTGCATTTTTACAGGCCCTGTTCATGCGATCAGACAGAGCCCTTAAACCAGGCCCCAGTTGTTTAAAGGTCAGATAACGCTATTGACTGGATAGATCTCTATTCTGTGGATAACACTACAGGTTTTGCTATCACTTACCCACTAGATGGTGATTTATACATTGGATAGTGCTATCTGCCCTTTATACAACTGGGCTTAGTATTTAAGTTAATGTTCGTATAAGGGTCATGTAATCATCTGTAATCTCGCCTTGATCATAAGCTAAGAAAAGTAGCAAACGTACTACAAAAATGGAATTTGCTCTTTGCTTAAACCAGTGATGAAACACTTTGTGGGAGTTGGATGTTAAAAACAAGAAAAAAAGAATCACATACTTCCTGCAGATCATTTTATCACAGTTATATTTCTGTGCCAAAATGCGCAAACTGGGCTCAATAACCCCACCACGCAGTCTCAAAACAAGATGAAGAGTGGATTCTGTTGATGGAAAAAATCAAGAGAGCAGTAAGCAAAGAAGAATAGCAATGAAAATTAAGGACTAATTGTTTCAGCTGTGCTTCAGGATTTACATTCACTGTTGCACAGACTAAACATTTAAACAATACCTTTCTGGATGTTGTAGTCAGAAAGAGTTCTTCCATCTTCTAATTGCTTGCCAGCAAAAATAAGCCGCTGCTGATCTGGAGGAATACCTACACACAAAAACAGTTTGTTAAATTTCTTCTATTCTCAACCTCTGATTTGTAGTTCTTCCTCTTAGTTACTACACTGTTTCTTGTAACGTGACTAAACTCTTGAACGCTTTTAAGACATTGTCACCGTGTCAACATTTTCGGAAAGAGTACCATATAACCCCATACAATAATTATGCATTCCACTTCTTTGTCTTTCCCAACAAAACTTTAAAAACAAAGTCTACTAGTCTGAATGCATAATTAATGTATGGGGTTATATGGTACTCTTGCCACATTTTCCCTTCACAGCAACCCTTATGGAATACAGACAAAAGATAATTTTAAGAGATTCACATTAACTCAAGCCTACTGAGATCTTTTTCACTGACTACAGACATTCGAAGTGAAAATGATACAGCCGGTAAAACGTTAAGTATCCAAAGGGCTAAGAAGTATTTGAGTCATATCTAAAAATTACGTAAAATTGTAAAATGGTTAATGGTTTGAGCTTTGCACCAAGTTTCCCCAATACTTGACAGAGAGAGTCACCCTAGCCCTTTGGAATTTCACGCCCTGGTTCTTTAGTATGTAACAAATAGATTTTCCTTATTTTTACCTTCTTTGTCTTGGATTTTAGTTTTCACATTCTCGATGGAGTCACTGGGTTCAACCTCAAGAGTAATGGTTTTACCCGTGAGGGTTTTGACAAAGATCTGCATGGTATTCACCCGGTGAAGATCTGAAAAAAAAGGGACGATAACTAAATTTTTTACTCCCCTCTTGTGATAGCACCAGGTTGGCAAATAAGCTCGTATTTTTTCTAGGTTTTCTGAGTGCAAAGTAAAATTCTCCAGTAAGTTACCTCGTGTCTTCAGAAGGAGGAAAGAAAGGGTATCTGGGGTGGCCACAAAGTATTTGAAGGGTTTAGCCGCCCGCGATAAATCATGGTTAAGCTTTCTATGTTGTGTAAATTGAAGTGAAAGTTCCTGAAATCAATATGGCGGGTGAAGATGCAACCATGAAAGATCTCGACTCGCAATCACAGTGGTTAGTGGAAAGAGCTCGGCAAAGCTTGAGAGAGAATAACCCTTATGAAGCTAAACCATGGCTAATAACTGCTAAGACACTATATCCCAAAGATTTCGGAATTCAGGTAGGCTCAGAGCTCGCAATTAAGTGTCTATTTGTTTGTAACTTTCTGCACTTGTTGTCTTTCTTTCATTTCAGTCTTTGTTTCTGTCGTCTTGCGGTGTCTATGGTCAGTACTTGTAGAATTATTCCTGTGAGTTACCATCGTGTCTCGCACCAAGAAGTATGATGTTTGATCACTTGATTACAGAATTTTAGTCAGTTTTTTACATCATCTTAAATTGTTAGTTATGACTTGTTCAGCTTTAGATGCGAGAGAATTAGGGACTTAGGTTAAAAAGAAAGTTTCTGATAACTGATAATGTTACTCTTATTCGCATGGATACTGCTATCCTCGGATTGGATCATCATTATCATTAGTTGGTATGATGTCTACATATTTTAACAACTTAATAAATGTAGATCCCAGTTAAGAAGATGACATCATGTAGTCTGATCATCTAGGTGAAAGTAGTCAAATTCTGTGGAGGACTGTTGTTAGTAGCAGTTTTGACAACTTCAGCAGAAGTCATTACCACAGGTGAGACTTCTGTTAGGGTTGTTGATACATCAATCACCACAGCAGACAACAGTCCTTCTCAGGATCACTTAAATGCAGACTGAACCGCCGCCCAGTTAGCCCAATGAATAGTGCGCTGGACTGTTGTGCGGGAGGTTGAGGGTTCGAGCCCCGGCTGGACCAACACTCAAGGTCTTAGAATAATTGAGAAGAATTTGCTACCTTTCAAAGCCGCTTACCACTACAAAGGGCAGTGGACCGTAAGAGGACTGGATCAGATTTATTAAAAAAACTCTGTTGCTGTTGAGTGGTGTTGTCTCCCTTACTTGTTAAAGAATGTAACACGTACCATTTCACTTATGTCTTGTACTGTATGTCTTATGGTTTTAGTATGAGGCCTACAGCATTGAGAGAAATGCTGAAAGAGTTCAAGAGTCTGCCAAGCTTTTCTATATAATGTAAGTTTGTTGATTTGGGATTGCTTCTTGTCAGAAACTGGGGAAATGCAGTTGCAAGAAATTGGTGTTGTGTAATTTTGTAATATTCTCCACATCTGAATTAAAAAAATAGCTCAGTTGCCATCAACCTTTAGAAAGAGAATTCTGCGTAGGAATCTCCATTTGCCGCATGGACACCCCCAAAGGGACCCACCCAAAATATAGATTGGTGACCTTTGATAGGACCTTTTTCTTGTAATATTACATGTTTTGAGACTTGTTTTCCAGTTTCTGAGATATGCTCTTAGCTTCAACACATTTATGTTGGAAAAGATTTTCTCGCAATGTTTTTAATGTAAAATTAAATTTATTAGGTTTGAACAATTTCCAGAAAGTGACATACTCTGGAATGAAGTTGTTAGCTTCACAGATGCTCTTGAGAGTGATGTCATGGATCGACATGGAAAGTTTCTGACAGGTATATAATCAAGGATGATATCAATAATTTAATCTGCGTCCTGTGAAAACTCAACAACAGGGGGTTAACCTCTCTGTATTTGCAGCAGTGAGAAAAGATTAGATTCACCCTTTATATTCTGGCATAATTAGGCACATTCTGCACACGACAAGAAAAATGTGTTTAAGAATCAAGAGCTTCTTTACGTAGTGATTATTTCCTTGAACTCTTTACAGCTTAACATCAGTATGCATATTCTCCATACTGTTCTATATACATTTCTTCGGGTGCTCATAAGGAGAATTTGTTAAACAATCAAGAGCTTTTTTAGTTAGTTATCCTTTCTCGCATTCTCATGATCTTAAGCTGACTTCCCACCTTCAGATGCTGAAAAAATCATTTTTTCTTTTATTTGACTAAATTGAAGTCAAACATTATACCTAATGTTTCCACCAAAAAAATATTTTTAATCTATCACTTGTTTTTAGTTTACCTGTTACTGTGTTGTCCTCCTCAATGCTCCACTGATAATCATCATAATTATCATCATTATAATTCTTATCATTATCGTAAGTTATAAGTGTATTTTCTTTTTTCTTTAGATATGTTTGGTTGTCTTCCGCAGCATGCTCAGCGAGAGATACTTCTCAGAGCTGCAGGTGAACAACTTTGATCTTAAACATAACCACACTTGTGCTAAATTTTTGCTTTGAAACTTTTCTTACACCTCTGTTTGACTGTGTTTTAGGGAGATGCAAAGATTACATTGAGAGATGTCGAATGATGTTGTTGTTAATGAGGAGATTCCCTGATGTGATTCCAAAGAATGGGGTAGTCAAGACATTTGATCAGTTATATTAATTTTACTTAACGGTAATATGTTTCTACCTTCGACTCCAGTAGATTGAAAAGGTATTTCAGCAAAGGACACTTGCTTTTATCCCAGTTATTTGAGATGCTGACTATTGGGGATTTAAAATATGTGGATTGAATTATTTTGTGCCAGTCAGCCTTTATAAAATTTGCCCAATTCAAATCTTAAACTCATGTACTTTACAAGACATGCAAACTATTGAGATACAAGACACAAGAAAATGCCTAAGAGGCAAGACGATTTGAATTTTTTACAAAAACGATGAGTATGAATGTTAAGACTTGTGAGAAACTGCTCCAAAATTACTTTTAATTCATTTCATAAGGAATGTGTTGACCTGTACATGTACCTTGGATAAGGAGATGCCCTTTGTATCCTGGAAAATAAGGATCAGACAAATAGAAGGGTAGTGAGTAGAAAAATCGGTCCATCAAGTCAAAACTTAGGAACAAAGTAATGAGATTGCATTCATCTGTTTTTATGTGTCCCAAAAAGTTTATAAATATTGAAATGATCTCTAATATCATTTGAGTGGCAAGAATGATCTTATTGTTAATTTTTTTTTTAAGGTTGCCTTGACAGAGATGTTGACTGATGCTGAGAACTCAGAGTATCCAGCAGCTCCTGTTAATCCCTACAGGAAGTTGTTAGGTGTGTGTTAGCTAGTGGCTCCCAACTTGCTCTGAGAATGTACTTATATACTGAGAGGGTCCTAGCATGAATTTGATCCTCTTTTGCCAAGCTTACTGGTATTTTGCCGTTGTAATAATACTTGTAGCTTGAAGAGACCAAATGAATCAGTTCTCTAAAGTGAGGTATTCAGTAAAAGTGTGTCTACTTTGCTCATTTAATGTGATGCTGTAACTTTTACACAATCTACTTTCAGTTTGTGATGTATTGCCTCACTTGCTGGCCAGTGAAAACATGTCTGTTAAAACTTCAAGTGCTGAAAGTTGTAGTGGTCAAGATGACGAGGTTTGTCATCTCAGCTTAAGACTCACCTTAATTATTTCCTGGGATTATTATATGGCTGTGTCTCACAAGGACTGGGAACTACCAAATTCATGAATTTGATTGGCCAAAATCAGTATTGAAAGCGGTCTAGATTTTCCCATCTAGACCAGCATCTAGACCGGTCTAGAAAAAAAAGGTACAAAGAATATAAAAAATTGGCATAATAAAGACACAGCCATATAATAAACATCTTATTAACCGAGCTAGGTCTGTCTGTATGGGAGAATCTTGACCTCCATCGCTGGTATAGACCTCACTGCGTTTGGTCTGTACTGGCGACCTCGGTCAAGATTCAATGAATATCAATGATATTTTGTACTCTTAAGTGAAGTTGAACTGCCTATTTCAAAACATTAAGCTCTAATTGAATTTGAGATATTACAGGTAGCTAGTATATATTTTGCATGTGGATAAAAGGTCATGAATTTGGCAATTGCTTAAACTGCAGTTTACACAATATTGCAGAAGGAAAAGCCTGGAAATAATTATAGTTTTGCTTCTGAGACTAAATTGTATTAAGTAACTGTTACAGTACTGCAGTTATCCTCACCATAAACCAGATGATCATAATTAGTTTTAGGAAGTGAAATATCTTGATATTGGTGGAGAACTTTAAACTAATAAACTTGAGAAAAACATTGAGCTTTCTCATGGTATACCATCCATAAAAATGTTGATTTAAAGTGATACTAGTTCTTTTCTTTGGTAACTTTTAGGAACATGTTTCTGGCATCTCTCTTGCACAAGTGCACAAATGGCTAGAACTTTCCATTCAATTTTACGTTTCCTGTGCCACAGCTCAGAACTTCTTGTCTGAAAACTTTGATGCTCAACAGAGTATTATAGACACAAGTATTGTAGCAGAAGTGCTTGATGGACAGGGGCCATGGATAGCCCTTCACAAGCTGTTTTATCTAGCGGCAAAGAAATGTGGATGGATGGAGATTTGTAGGATCCATGACAGACTGGATTCTATAAAATACAGGTGCAAGAATCTCTTTCCTGGAATCAAGAAGCTTATGACTTTTTTCTGACACTCTTATTGTGAAAAGCTGTGAGAGTTAAGCCATTCTAATTTTTTGATGGTAATGATTTTAACTTTGGTATGGGTCCATTATGGATTCATTAAGGTTGGTGATTCTAAACTTTTTTAACCATTCAATTCAACCCCCCCCCCTTCAAGACTGATCAGCATCTAATTTCTCCCCACAACACCACCCCTGAATCAAATATGAAGGTCATGAGAATAAAGAAGCTCTTGATTGTTAAACAAGTTCTCCTTGTCAGCATTGTAGGAAATGTATAGAGAACAGTATGGAGAATATGCAGACTGATGTTAGGGTGTGAGGGGTTAAAGTTTCAAATCCCCAATCTTCAAAGTGATTGAAGTTGAATACGTCAGTACAGAATTTGACACTTAATTACACTCATTATCAATAGATGATCTTGGGAAAGGTGCCTTGGTTTAGGTGGAGCCGTATGTGATGCCAGCCAGGCTTGCAGGTATCCATGGCAACCCTGAGAGCGGCAACCACACGGCACTGTCACACTGATAAATCAGTGGAAATACTTACCAACGGACATACTTACCACTGTTGCATGACGAAGACCAAAAACGGGGTGGGGGGAGTGGGAGCAAAAAGGCACTCAACTATGGCAAGCAAAAGCAAACGAGAATGTAGCTGGAATGCAATACAAATGCCCTTGCAACAAACCCAGTAAATGAAACCCCCCCCCCCGCCCCCCCATGCGTGGCTGCCCGTGGACCGCTGCTGACTGCATTGGCTCAAGTTTAACTTGGCCTAAATTACATTGAGCCACATCTTGCAGGGATTATAATGGTGTATATCACGTGATATCTTTACAGAAGCACCAATGACTATTGGACCAGTATTTCAGACCTGCATCACAAACTGAAAAAAATATCAAAACATTGCTCAGAAGAAGGCACAGAGGAGGAGGTGCTTGAGAAAACTGGGCTCATGTTTGCAACCATCATCCTGTTCTTACAGACTGTCTGGGAATATTGCCGTGTTGTCAACAGACTTGATGTAATCTGTAAGTAATGTTCCTTTGGGAGTTGCCATGTCCTATTGGCTGGGAGACTGGGTTCAAGCCCAGGTGGGGGTCTTAGTGTGGTGTACTTCACTCTAAGAGTGTCGTCCTCCACCCAAGAGGGAGACACTTGGCAGAACGAGACAAATGGGTTCTGGTATGCTGTCAAGAAAACAGGACAGAGGGAGAAAATTGGGTGCAAGCAAATTCTCGGGGAAAGTTAATGGATGCTGCAATCCTACAATATACTACCCCGTCATTAAGAAGGCAGCCAAAGGGATAATCCTCAAAATGTCATGCTACAGATACTGCAGTAGGCTCTTGTGGTAATGCAAGTCAGTCTCATGTTCCATTCCTGACTATTGCTTCACCAAGGGCTAAGACTTAAAATTTTAGCAACTTAAAATTTAGTGTGATCTGGAATGCTAATCCCTCTTGCTGTCGTATTATAACTTTCTGATCAGCTAACATAAACATTACTTGTTTTTGTAATTCTTCAACAGCTTCTTCTGGTCTGGTGTATCCTTTGGTTCTGGTTGAGGACAGTGTTCATGTCAACATTCAACTATCAGGCAGTGCTTCTGCAAACACTGCTGCAAATGACAGGTATGAATAAATAAAGTGACAAAGATAACGATCATTATTAAAAACTAGATCATTGGATAATGCAATTCAAGACTTTTTATTGGCTCAGCCATTATGGTATATGAGCCAATATACCATAATCTA